CCTCGTACATGGAGAGTTTCTCAGCATATACCCATATTATGTAGTTAATATCGTTTCCTGTATTTCTGCTTCTTTTTGCCTTTCATTCATTGTCTCTTGTGTTGTCTATGACCTCTGACCTGACCTTGTGCCTGTTCCCAGGGACTGAATGATTAGCAGATGCACCTTTCAAGATTCAGAAGGGCTTCACGTACGATTGCTTTTTTTAATCAAATCTGTAAATTGTATACAAGTTGTAAAATCCAATAAAATATTGATTAAAGCCCGTCTGCAATAGTTTGGCCAGGAGGTATTAGATCTGCTTGCATGGTCACTGATATGTGGTTGACCCATCAAATCAGCTCTCAATTAACATAAGAAAAAGGGGACCATGGGAGACCAATGGTCACCGAATATACATTGTATGCTATATAGAGGACGCATGTAGCTATAAGTAGTGCAGTGGGGCTTTAATACACTTAAAATGACAAAAGGATGTGAGTTAAAAGCCCTTCTGGCTCTCAGCAGAAGGCATCATTTTAATAATAATAGTTCGTGCTTACATATATACATGTAGCGCTTTTCAGGACCGCAGGCCCTCTCAAAGCGCTTTACAGATACCGGTATACATTATTGTTTTGAACTGTCGTGATCATTGGGTTCATCTTTGTAGCCTTCCTAAGAAACGATTATGGACCATGGGACTCGCTAATGGAAATCAGTTGAGCTTCATCTTTAATCAATGAGCTTGTAGGACAGATCCCAAAGACACTTGACACTCTCCTCATGCTCTCCGTCTCTTTCTTCTCTGCCTCTCTCTCTTTCTTCTGTCTGTCTGTCTCTCTCTGTCTCTTTCTCTCTCTCTCTCTCCCCCTCTCTCTCTGTCTCTCCATTTTCTGTCTCTCTCTCGTCCTGCATGCCTCGTGATTCCTTTCCATCTTTGTCAATCCTTGTGGGTCCCTCTTCCTTCTCTGTCATCCTCTCATTATTTCTTTTTGTCTCTCCATTTACTCTATCCATCTGTCTCAGTCTCTGCGTCTATGTTTCTATCCTTCTGTCTCTCACTCATAAATATACATTTACATGTGCAGGTATGTCCTCTCTCATGTTTTGTTCATCTATTTTCTGTAATGCTTTCCTGTTTAATACTAGTCATCTTTCTCCCTATTCATCTGTTGGAGGACTGTCCATCAATCTTTAGAAATGCCACTATACTCACAGTGCACAAAGTAATTTTTTCAAGAACATATTTTTAGAATTTATAACCATTTGAGCGCTATTGATCATAGACCAATCATTTACTCCTTTCCTGCTGCCTTTAAAAATTGAACCAATTTTAGGGTTTTGTGAGAAATGATTTCTCATGACATATTGGTAATATTCTCAATTGTCCATTATTTTGATGAAATGCCAAGTGAACATAAATATCTGTGTTATTAGAACAAAATAGACATACCAGTGCTTAATTTGCCTTTATCAACCTATTGCAGGAAGCCAGGAACCAATCTGTTTCTGTCAATCCTGTTATGTATGCTTGAATGGGAATACCTAAGAGAATTCAGCAGATAAGATATTAACAATATCAGTGTTGCTAGTTATGATGCATGCTGATAATCCCATCATTCTTCAATGAGTAAATACTTTTACAGTAAAGATACAAGCTTTTCTTGTGGAACTGAATTGTTTCCCTTTTCAATGCTGGTTTCTTCTGTCATTCAGTAGACAGCAATCAATCTTCCTCATTTTACTCTCTCATTGCAACGCGTGTCTCGACAGAAATTTGAGTAGTTTGAAAAGTTGTTTCAAGAGGAATGATTCAATTTTGATGTTGTCCACTGGTGGCATAGCTCCTTGGGGTGCATCTATCGCAGCACTCATCATGGATGTATTATTCCACGCACATTTCCTTTCTAGTACCCCAAATCATGCACTCTTCATGTAACCCCCATTTACACTATCAAAATTCATGGTATACACTTACGGTACAGTAGTTGTACAGAAAACTGTATAGCCATATTTGATAAAGTGATTAACTTGTCCTAGTCTAAATGTCGTATAACAAACTGTCCTATAAGTTGTTAATGCTTGTTTAAGCATCATTTAAAAAAATAATACTTGATAAAATATCAGGGTTCCCTTTTCGTTTTAACCTGGTATCATATGAGACTGTATGGCAGGCTTATCGTGAGGGCACACTGATGACCGGTAAGCTCTCCTGTCAACTGACCTCTTCAAAAGAATGTTAGTATTGTTATTACATAATTATATATGATACTCATTTTGAAGTGTGTTCGCCCTGTCTAGTATATACGTTTCTTCATACAAGTTTGGTATAAATTCCCTCTCGGATGAACAGGCAGCTACAGTGTACATGTAAAAAAAACTGTACATGTTAGTTGGGTATCCCCCTTGATCTCTCATGATTATTCATGCCCATGCCCTGCTGTGCGATCCTACCTTTTGCTCTGGCCACCTGAGGTCAATTGCCTTATTTTTTTCTCCTCCTCTATATCCATCTAGTCTTAGAATACAGACGCTTTTGCACGTTGACAGTGACAATGACCTTCAGCTTGTTAGTTACAATGAATTTTGAGTAGGCGGTTTGGGAGAAGGTATTATCGATAGGAGAAATTGTGGGAAATGACTACTAGGTGCAGCTCGGGTACAGATCAGGTACAGAAGCAATTCTACATGTTTTTGTCTTTTGTGATTCTTTCTTTGTTTGCTTTGGCCACATGCAGGTGATGAAGCTATATTTGCAAAATGATATTGCATACAAAAGAGAGGTAATATCTTATCTTCAAGTATATGAAGTTTACATTTGATGGTGATCCCCATCATAAAGCCTTGAGCCTTTAAAAAAAAATGTATGTATTCAAACTTTAGGAATCTCGCATTCTTTCTCTATGTACAGTACATATAAATGTAAACATTGACATTATATTCTGTTGATACAAGAAGAATCTGTTTCTGTATCTAAATTTTACGGTGCTCCAAAAATTTGATGATAGGCAAAGATATGAACATAAATGTGATTGTTACCAATCATATTCATTGCGTATTGTGTTGCCCTGCGATCTTGCCTGAAATATTGGAGACTAATCCTGCGTGTAGCCCCTGCATAAAAAAACGGGTCCAGGTAGCCGTGTACACAGCCTGAAAAACAGCCTCACTTGATTTGTTTTTAGACTTGAAATAGAGACGTGTGGGAAAAAATCCAATTCAATTGTGGAGTAGAGAATTGGCGAAAAGGATTTGCAGTCTTATAGGGGAAGGAGGAGGGGGTCGAGCTTTTAGACTGTTTATTGTAGAATCAGTAGTTGTGTATTTTATGCCAACTGCGGGTGAAATGTTCTATTCAGTCGGGGGAAAGGGAAGCCGGACCTCCCCTCTCGTTTCGCGAAACCAACATACACGGAATGTGGATTGATTAGTCATCGTTTGGAGTGAATGGCGCAAAAAAATACAACATTTGAATTACATATTTGCAGGTGTTTAGGAATGTGCTTGGTTAGTGTTGCCTTTGAATGGCTCGTCGATAGCTCTTGGCATTGGCGAAACTACAATGTGGCATTAGTGTTCAAACTCAAACATTTGTGTGTATCGAATATACCGGGAAGAGCGAAATGGGTTTTATCGCTTGCATGTATGATGTATGGTATGTACTGTAGTATGCGGTTGGTGTAACAGTCTGATGATATATTAAGCAGAAGAGATAAGATACCGTTAATGAAAGAGGATTGAAATAATTATGATAAAAATAGAAGGAGACATGAAGACACTAGAAAATGTAGGAAATTGATATGAGAGGAAGAGGGGCATACATTTATGAGGTAGAATGAAAGAGATAGGGAAGAAGAGAGGTAGCTTAGAGAGAGAGAGAGAGAGAGAGAGAGAGAATGGACGAGAAGGGGGAAGGAGAGAGATATAGCTTTAGAGATGGACAAAGGGAGAGGGAGAATGTAAAAGAAAGGGAAGGAGAGAGAGATGGACAAAGGGAGAGGGGGAATTGAAGAGAAAAGGAAGGAGAGAGATAAGGCTTAGAGAGACAGAGAGATGGATAAAGGGAGGAGATAGGGGATGGAAGAGAAGGGGAGAAAGAATGAGAAAGATGGAGAACAAGAGTGAGAGAGAAAGAGATGGAGAGAGAGAGAGAGAGAGAGCGAGAGAGAGAGAGAGAGAGCGAGAGAGTGAGCGAGCAGAAAACAGTCATTAATGTCCCATTTCAGTGAATCACAATATTGTTAGGAAACATATATTTGAATACATCTTTAGTTGTTTCTACTACATTGACATGGCTCTCGTTTACCGTCTGTGATTCAATGAGATCCCGAGGACTGTATTATTGGAGTAATATGGTAATAAGTGCTTTACCCTGCCGCGGCCTGGGGGATTAAATTGAAAAGACGAGGGCCAATTTTTCCATGAGATGATTTTTGAATGACCAGAGAGTATATTTTTGTGATGGAGTCATTATTTGGCAATGATATTCAATTTGGTTGGGGCCATGTGGTGGTTAGTGAAATGATGAAAGTATGATTGCCTGATTTTTATTTGCATGGCGATGTCAATGTGCGATTGTACCCTGTGTGTTTGAGGGAAAGGATAGGAGTGGGGGATGGGGATTGGGGGGGGGGGTAGGAATGGAGGTAGGTGAGGTGAAAAATACATGTACAGGTAGGTAGGGGCATAGTAGGGTGGGATGTGGAAGAGATTGCTTGATTTTAATTTGCATGCCATGCTGATTTCAATGTCAATAGCCTGTGCATATATTTGTGACATAGATATTTAACACCTTAGTGTGAATGTCTACGTGTATGTGGCATCAGAGATAAAAGACTATCACATGTCTGAAAGTTTGTACTATTACTCTGACCGCCAACATATATACAATCTATCATTTGCCATGTGACCGCATTTAGACCAATAGTGTTGCAAGATTATTGGTATGTGAGAGATAAACATGAACTATACTTTAAAGCTGATTAAAAAAAATGTCTCTTTTGTTTTTGTCTCTGCAGGAAAGAGTGTGTCTTCCAAGAAATCACCTCTCAACTTCCAAGATGATGTTGGGTAAGCAAGCAAATATTCTTTTTCTCATCTATATAATTCATCATTTACAAGCATCAATGCATTGTACCTTGTGGGTGTGAATTTGATGACAATTGCAATTTTTCATGCTTAAGTAGATAAAGTGACGAGAGAAAAGTCAAGTCAACAAAGAATTTAGGCAAAAACGACAGAGTGAAAGAAGGCAGGGAGAAGGTGAAGTTCAAGGATTATTTGAAAGGATTTCTTAAAAAGATGAAAAGGATGATGAATTGTTTTGACAGCTTCAGGGTTTGCCAGACTTTTCTGTCGAGGTGTTCGGCCCAGCGTGAATGGTTTCCGTGAGTACATTCACTCATCCATGTGCTGTCAAAAATTTGAAGTAACAAAACACAAGCAACATGGAAGTCTGAAGAAGCCTGCAATAATTGAGTAGTTTTCAAACTGTTCACAATCTGTTCTGTTCTTCCTTCCAACTTGCAGTTTTATTTATTATTTTCTAAAGCACTTTGAAATAGATTATTCTTAGAATTTTTTAAAAGAAATATTATTTTCATATAAAATTTCTACCATGATAATCCTATAATTAGGATTAAAAGAATGAGAAGGCCTATATTTACTTTAACAAGAACTCATCCTCCTCTTCATACCATTGAGGATGGTTAAAGATAAACTTGAGTTCTGGTAAAAAAAGAAAATGAATTCTCACAGAATCTAACGAAACTTACACTGAATGTTCAAGATTACAAATAAATGTCGTGTGCCAAACAATTTTGGAAGAAAATGTATACTGGCTGAGTAATGAGCATAGAAAGATAAGGAAATCAGGGTAGTACTAGCCCCGACACAATGTGTGTTGTCCCATATACATCTATCTGTGTAAGTAATTGTTACTTTACCAAGACTCTGCCAAATTTATGATGATTTTGATGACTCTAGAACCTTGCATTACACACCATTACTTACATGCTATATGATCAACTTTTCTGATCCATTCCACACCTTTTCTTTCACAATGCAATCGCATTACCAGTACTCAAGTTTATCTTTAAGTGCACACTTTTCTATGAAGTACAAAACACTTTTCATGAGGCACAAGTTCCTGCTCTTGTTTGTCTTGATTTCATAATTAATTACTTTCTATTGGCAATTCAAGCAATTAGGCCCTGATAGATACTTATTGAAAGTAGCATGCCAGTGACTTGCGGCTACACGCATGATTGATGTTTCCTCTATTAAAGTAATTAATTCATGAAATTAATTGAACAAAATTAGCTTTATCAAAAGGAGGGTGTGGGGGGCTGAAGAAAGAAAAATATGACATGAGGCAACAATGTACTTCAAGTTATATTCCAAAGTTGTTTAGATCAAGGAAATGAAAGGTTTGGGAGAAAAATTGCACAGAGAGAGAGAGAGAAATAAACACACATGTTATTCCATTTTCTGGTTTCAGACATTACTTGCCTCAGGCTATGTCATTTTGTATTGCAGTGTTCTGGATGAATGGGGTTTCACGCTATTCATTAATTTAGTGGGATATGGTACAGGTTACATTCATACAGACGTGGTTGTGGTTCAACGAGATTAAATCGGTAGATCAGACAAATAAAAACACAAGTGCACAAAACCTTTTTATTGGGATATGGTACAGGTTACATTCATACAGACATGGTTGTGGTTCATCAAGATTAAATCGTAGATCGGACAAATATAAATAAAAGTGCACAAAACCAAATCAAGTTGGATTCTTATTATTCTATTGAAGCACTACGCATGCATTTACCTCTTACATACATGTACATGTAATTAGCATATTTGAAATCTCTTGTAAATGTATTCTATATAAAGCAGAACTTACAATGTAGGACAAGTACAAAGTTTTTGTTCTGAATACCATTGCATATCATTTGTGTTATATTTTTCTATCCTTTTTGGTGGTTCAAGGCAAGTTTATTTTGATTTGGCAAAATTCCAATTTTGCAAATTATGATAACATCAAAAGTGCCACTCATATTCTTGTTATACAAATCATAATGCATTTGAAAAGTGTTGTAGTAATGTAGTGACATTATTGGTTTTAATTGAATTCAGGTCAGCCGTTAGCATCCAGCCTTCATATCCAAGTTAATATGATGTAGCATAATTACAGTGATAAATTCATTATCACCTCCACCACTTCTACTATCACTGCCACTACCACTGCTACAGCTACCTTAACACTTCCAGTACCACTACCACTACTATTATTACCAGCAATGCTACCCCTACCACTATGTCTTCTGATACTGCATCCACTACCACCACCACTATCACTACCAATACCACTACTACTTCCCCTACCATTTCCACCATCTCCACCCTTACCACCCTTACTAGTTCTACTACCACTATCACTACCACAACTTTTACCACTTCCATTACCACTTTCACTACCACTTTCACTACCACTATCACTACCACTTCCAATACAAAGTGTCGCCATTACTAGGTACTGTACCACCATTACTGCTACCCCTACCACTGTCACTTTCATGACCACTGCTACTAACATTACAACTTTTCCGACCACTAATTCTGCTGCTATCACTACCACTTTTCCAACCATTGATTCTGCTACTACATTCATACCCACTTTCAACAGCTACTACTTTCTCTAGTCCTGCTTCAACCACTACCACTCCCTCTACCACAGTCACCATCCGGTTTGTATCATTAATTTCATGATAAACAATGCGTAACAACCATTCATTGATTACTCCTCCTCATGCAGATTCTCCGCACTGCACCACGCCGCCCTCAACGGGAACTGCGGCATCCTGGGAACCCTCCTGGATAATCACCATCACATCATCGTCGATCTCAAAGATAACAAAGGTGAGAGGGAGCCAGGGGACCCATTCCGCCTCGGAAGTGGGAGATGGGGTCATTAAGGCCATTTGCGGAAGATAAATGGCATCATTTGGCGGTATCCATAGGGATACAGTCACTCCTATGGGGATTTAATTGGTGTGATAATGGGTAGTGGATCGTATCTATCGGAAGGCATTTTGAATCCTGTCTACTCCGACAGATTCTGCATGATTTACTACCCCATGTATCATTTTAATGGAGTCTGAAATTTAATAACTATTTGTTCTTCCTCTGACTGCTTTTCTACCGTGTTTGATGAATAGATTATTGAATTGAATGGTAATGGGATAATAATTGCTCCTTTTCCTATACAGCAACTCTACCTGGAGTTGATAAAATTGTAGTGATCTAGCACACACAAACATAATTTATTCGGAGAATGGTTAGAGTCGTTAATCAGGCTTAAAGAGAAGGTTGAGTTCTGGGAAGAGGTAAAAAATAATTTGAGAGCGTTATCATTCTTATTATGCAAGTGTGGAAGAACATCAGATAAGACATGTTCCCTGAAAAGCATGGCTCTTCAAATGCCTTCATATTCTAAATATGTCATGTAACATCGTAAAACTCGGGGGGGGGGGGGTTAGGATTTTTACGCCCCGTGTTCGTGTAGTCCCATGTGTGTACAGTGTTTGTAACTTTACCAAGACTTGGCCAAATTTCTTATCATTTTGATGATTCCAGAACCTTGCAATACACACAAATTCTTATATGCTAGATGATCAACCTGTTCTGGTCGATTCCACACCGTTTCTTTCACAATGCAATCGCATGACCAGAACTCAACTTCATCTTTAAATACAGGTACAGTTTTAAGTGCTTTCTTCTAAATAATCTTCCTAGTCAATATTCTCAGGAGGATTTTATACATTTCAAGAGAAATCAACAAGCTACATACAGTTGTACTGTACATGTAAACCTCCATGCATTGTGAAAGAATTGCCTTGGATGTTTATAACCACAATCCCTTATGCATTGTTGGTAAGCTCTTCTAACCAATTTGTCAGATTTGCCTTGAAAGAAGTTGATAAATGATGATCCCAGCCCCATTCTCAGTGGCTTCAAGCTCTTTTTCACCCCCTAAAAGCAGTATCACATAGCTCCTACATAAAATGTGTTTTCTGTTCGTTTTCATATTAAACATTTTCAAAGTAAATTCCATTCTTGTGGCTTTCTAGAGCTCGTCAACATGTATATAACAAGAATGTGTCATTAGGTAATGATTATGATACTTGACGTACATCTACTGTTAATTGATGAGACACTTATCAGCAAATGTGCCTGTATTTACCACAATAAATCAATGTATCTATGTATTATTTGCTAGTTTATCAAGTTTGGCCTGTCTACAAATTTCATTTCTTTATAAAGCCAAGAAGGGAAAAAAGGGACAATGTTCATATAACTTTGGTAATCACAAAGAGAACTTTAAAAAAAAAGAAAAAAGAAAAGGGAACTTATAAAACTTGAAATGAGCTTTAAACAAGGACAATCACTGATAATATAACTATCTTAAGATATGTACTGAAGCAAATCTCAAATAAGCTCCTGTGAACAAAAATGCTATTTTCTACATTGCTTGCCGATGTTACACTGTACAAGTGCTGGAAAACTAGGTTTAGATATCGTGCTCAGAATGCATCTTGTAAGGCTTTGCGTATGTTTCTTGAAAAGGTCACGTTATGATTATTTGAACTCCTTGGGGATTAATTGACCCGCCTGCACACCTTGAAGTAGAAGCTTGAGTTTCCCTGGCAATAGCTAGGTTCGCACGACAGACCGGAAAGTTTAAAGATTAGCTTGTGGTTTTAAACTTTGAGGTTACATGTATATTGTGGTGAAGGACTTGCAGACATATTCTTAGTTGTGTTAACTTGTAATTTTAAACCTGGAGTGACTGTATGGTTAACGTGAAATCTATGAGCAACGAAGGTCCTCACTCAAAGTTACATACCTTGCAAACATAATTTTAAAGAGGGTTACCTTTTGCAGCATGTATTAAAACAACTACTTCCCTGGAATGTAGTTTAAAACTTCAAGCAGTAATTTCTGTGCGATCTGACCCTGTGTTGTTGTTTAATAGTGGATTGTTTGTTAAAACTTTGATGTTTCACTAATAAACTTAAAGTCTAAAACTGTGATGGTTTCATGGGAACATAGCATATGATAGTTTAAAGCTTATCTGCCGTAGTTTACAGGAGGGATTAGACCGCTCTGCAAGGTCACTGGACAGGTGGTTATCTCATCAACTCAGCTCTCAGTTAACATAAGAAAAAGAGGATCATGGGGGACCAATGGTCACCGATTAGGCATTGTTTGTTATATAGAGGGCGCAAGTAGCTACCAGTAGTGCAGTGGGCCTTTAAGAGATTGTGAGAGATGTGAGAATATTTGTAAAAACATTTTTTTCCCCCATGTAAAATGATTGAAATATCAATGGGGCGAGCAATTCATTCACCTCTATACACGCATTAACGTTGAGATTTTAATCTTGATTTGAATCACTTCACAGGGACATGTAACAATTTATCACTCAAAACACGTTTTCATTTTTTTCCCTCTGGTATACATACACTTACCGAGATGAGATGTTTTCAACTTTTGGCCCAGTATTGGTGCTTGAAGTCAGCCAAACATGGCCTTTTTTATTTATTATATAGCATCGCCTTCAGCCACAGCGGAAGTTTGATCAACAAACCATCCAATCTCTATTCATTAGCACAAAGCATTCAAACAATCAAATCAAATTGTAATTTGGTTCACAGAGAGGGGGGCAAAAGGTTGCTCTGAATACCCCGGTTATGAGAGACCCTCTCGAATGGGAGCTATTTGTTGAGGTGAATTTTGAACTTCTAGAAGTTTGCTGTTCTGGGGTTTGACTTCCAAATTTCCCCCACAAAAGCTAATTTGTTGTTTTGCAAACTCGCGATGAAATGAATGAATGTAAACAAAGGGGGCGACAATGAACCGAGCGAAGAGTCAGAAAGTCTGCTTGATGTTCATGTAGGTTGTACAATCTCAGTCAAATGTGGGTAGACAAAATGATAGAAGTCAGAGATAATGTACATTCATGTTGACGGGGTTCGGAATCCCATAGTTGGCTAGGCTCCATGGGTTGTGATTCTAATTGATTTCACAATGCCATGGCTTATTTTAGGAAAGGTTTGTGGCCGGGTTTCTGGGTTTTGTGATCTCCGTACTACAGTGTATGTCTAGGGATGCCACCCTGTGCAGTTACCTTGTACCTTGTACAGTTGCTCTGACAACATTTGTTCTGGGCTCATTTTTTTTCAAAGATAGAGGGTTAGGGTTAGGGTTGCAATTGGGTATTGGGTTAGGTTTTGGTGTTAGGGTTAAGTATTGTGTTTGGTTGTTGTTAAACTCTTCACTTAGTTCATGAAATTGACCGGCAGTTGTCGTTGGAGTATCTATAAAAGAATTTCCCTAGCCCAAGTATATTTTGAGTGCTGGATACCATGTAATAAACAAAATAGATATAATTTGATTTAATATACTAGGATCCATCCATATAGGCAATTAAAGAGTTATGGTTTATTAAGAGGAACCCATTTTCCTGCCCCCATCTAAAAAACTTTTTTTGTTGGGGGGGGGGGGGGAGAAAGGAGTCTCTCCCCCTCTTTCTTTCTACTTAGAAACCATGTTGACTCAGCTACTGATAGGGTATTGAATTGAACGTTCACATAAATTTGGATTTGTAATTAAACCAGTTTTTATACTAGGTACCACAATCAATAGTAGGATGATGCAAGACGAGGTGTATTATTCAACAAGTTCACGTTTTTCCAGCTACATTTGTCAAGGACACAACATGCTCTTTGTGACACAATAACTCGTGTTTGGATCAATAAACTGGTGCTATGAACAAGTACAGTCCACCTCATTCGACCTCTAATGCTATTTGATATTACAAATATTTTGTTCTATTGATAATAGTATTATCATTGTGATATTTATATGCTTTCTCTTATTTGTAAACATTGGAGTATCCTGTCCTCCAGTATCATGTAAAAAAAAAGCCTTGAATTTGTTGGAGAAAAAAAAACATTAACAAGTTTTATTGTTCAAAATATAAAAAAGTTGAATATCAAAAATGTTGGCCATATATATGAATGCAAGACTCATGTTGATATATTCAATTGCTTTACCTTGAGTCAAATTGAAATATGCTTTCATCAGCATTGATGTAAAGAGAAAATCAGCACGGGGTGGGGGATATGAATTACAAGGTGAGACTCATGTGGGGGGGGGGGGGGGGGTAGAAGGAGGATCTTACATTTTCTGGCCCAATTATATCATACTCTTGTTTGTGTTAAGCTCTGACTTCCAATGTAATGGCAAATTGTCTCCATCGCAAATTATTGCTACTTGATGTAGGTAGAAGGAAACCAACTATGGTGGGTGGGTAGGCATGGGTGGGTAGAGCTCTAGAAAGATCAGCTTTCTTTAAATGCCACCTAATTCCTCCTGTACATGTATATCAGAAGGGCATTGATTCTGTGAAACGGCATATGAGTTAATGCCCTTCTGGCTCCGAACAGATGATATATATTCGCCTGGAAGTATTGGGTGTGAAGCCAAGGCTCGATGAGCAGCCAAGACCTTGAAACGTACCAGTCAAGCGGAATGAACAGAACTGGCAGCGCACAGCTAATCTTCTTATTCGTAGACCTATTAATCGACCAGTGGTATGCGGATAGCCTTAAAGGCCTATCCTATGCCCTACATGTACACATATGTGTTCATCCATTCTTAGTAGGTCCATGGTTCATCTATCTCACGAACCTGTGTGCCTAACACCTATTCAACCCATTTCACTTAAAATAGCTCAAGTACCATATGGAATTCCACATAATTATAGCATGTTTTGAAAAAAATTGGGCATGGGAACATATGGGAAACCTCTCCTCTGCCTGTTTACGATGAAAGGATTTTCCTCGACTGCAGCA